CGGCTGCTTGAGGGTCCGCGTGATTTTGCGCGAGTGACCCAGAACGGTCCCGGTTAGGGAGCTGGCAGAATCCAATTAATTGTGCTTGAAGCCGGGGTGTCTCGGCGGACCCTTGGGGCCCAGCGGAGGTAGGTGAAGGCGGCTTACATTGAGGGTAGCTTAGACTCACATCCAGCCTTCTTGGTATCTGGCATGCTCTTCTGGCGCTTCCTAGGCTCCGTAGGAGAACGGCTAAATTCTTTAACCGACCTCTTAGGTTCTTTGCAGTTTGGCTCGACCTAGATTTTTTTCCTCGACGATCACGCCCTCTCTTGTCCACCGTAGTTAGTTCCCGGAATAATCAGCACCTCTCTAAGCCAGTGGACAGATTTCCAATCTCTGTCTTTGCTTGTAAGGTTCCCTCAGGGGCGAAGAGGACATAATGAAAGATTTGGGGATAAAAATCAGACCTTGTTGACTATTTGAATGTTAGGAGTGAGGAAGAAGGACATGTCAGGCTGGTGCCTGACCTTAATAGCTGGTGCCAATCACGAGCCAAAATGGAGAATATTGGGAGTATGTGAGGGCGCACAGACCATGTCTTTCTCGTTCACCATTGTATCTCCAGTGCCTAGAACAGTGTCCTGCACGTTGGTAGGTATGTGAACAGAAAAGTGTTTCCTCTTTAATCATTGACTGTTGTTTCTTCAAAACAGCCTTTAAAAAATAGGGCACACATTTTGTTTTTCTTTCCTTTTTTTTTTTTGAGGCCGAGTCTTGTCGTTCTGATTGGAGTGCAGTGGTTGATCGTAGCTCACTGCAACCTCAAACTCCTGGGCTCAAGCGATCCTGTTGCCTCAGCCTCCCCAGTAGCTGGGACTACAGTCACATACCACCACGCCCACCTAATCTTTTAATTTTTCGAAGACAGGCTTTCGCTATGTTGCTCAGGCTGGTCTCAAACTCCTAGCCTCAGGCGATTCTCCTGTCTCGACCTCCAAAGTGTTGGGATTATAGGCATGAGCCACAGCGCCCAGCTGTCATACTATTTATTGTGGTATTATTGAAGTAATGTTTTCAGGCTTTTCAGAATAGCACCACTGGAATCATTCACCTGATAACATTGATCTTTTGCCATCAAATAGTTCTGGAAAGATATTTTGGCTTAATTACGTGTTATTTAAAAGTTTTATCCTATTCTGTCACTTTGATTTAGAATTTAATTTCAGAAGTGCTGTATTACATTTTTTTGCTACCGTTTAAAACCTTTTAAAATTAATTTAATTTTAAGCATCAATATCAGAAAATTACTCTTTAATATTATTTTAAGCTTTTAAATTTAACTTTAAGCTTCTACATTAGAATAGTAGTTTTGTTTTTCTTTTTTCTCGACATTTTTAGTTCAGGAAGTCAAGTACCCAGACTGTGTTCTTACAGATTAAATGTCACCCTAAACTTAGTTTCAGGAAACTTTTGTATTTGCAGTTTCACTTTAATGCTTCCTGTTGTCAACAATGAACACTAAGCCACTGTGCTTCTTTTTGGTTTGGCTACTCGAAGGCTGAGTTAGATTTATTCCCAAGTATTGTAAAACAGTTGGTTAGGTGTGAGAACATTTGGGTACACCCTCTGTGTACAGCTGAGTAGATGGTGCAGTTTGGTAGCCTTATTTGTTTTATGCCTGCTTCCTTTAGATTGTCTCTTCTGGATTACAGTTAAATCGTTTATTGGTCACTCATCTATGAACTTCCACACAGCCTTTTGAAAGAAGGCAGGATGAAAATTATATATACAAGCTTATGGATAATTCGAATATAAAATATTTTCTTTTTCAGACTTAAGGCAGAGACACTGTAATTATTTCTAGTATCAATTCCAAACTATTGTCCCTTGGACGACAGTGCAATTATATGAAATTATGTCTGGTTATAAGCCTGTAGCTATTCAGACATATCCTATACTTGGTGAAAAAATCACCCAAGATACACTATACTGGAACAACTATAAGGTGAGTATGGGAGGTAATGAGGAAGGAGGGATTTGTGTTTATGCCAGTTTCTCCAGCATGTGTTGTACTTCGGGTACTCTAACAGAGAACTGTTAACTGAAAAATCTATCAGCAACTTATCGTTTGGGTAGATAATTTGAAATCAATTTTTTTCTTGCAATTCTATATGAAAGTTCATACTGCCTAATCAGTTTAACTATACAAGTGCCTAGCACAGAATGGATGCTCAATCAATGCCAAATGAATTAAATTTTAAAATTTGAATCTCATATGCAAGAAGATATTTTCTTGCCTGCCCTTTTTTTTTTTTTTTTTTTTTGAGACAGAGTCTCACTCTCTTGCCTGGGGCAAGTGCCATGGCATCAGCAACTTATCGTTTGGGTAGATAATTTGAA